TGGCAGTGAGTTTGTTTTTCTTGAATTTTCAAAACAATTCCTGGAGAATGGAATTAAAATATAATGTCATTTTCCCACAACCTTTGGCAGGCCCTGTATAATTATGATCATTGTTGGATTATTATGTCCAAGAGTCTGAGTGGCACTGTGTCTAAAGCTACCTACCAGCCACTCTGCAGGGGAAAGATGGGATGTTTTCTTCCATAAGGATCATAGGCTAGGGCGGTACTACTGTGTCCTATGGGGTCACTGCGAATCAGAATGAACTTGACAGCAGTGGGCTCAGTGTTTGCTTATTAGGCTACGCGTGTTTTCTAGAAGTGTTTCTTTATATTCTTTCATGGCTAGAAAGAAGCGTTATATACCAAGACGAACATTGGGTAGCCCCTGTTAGATAAAAATTGTACCTACATTTTCTGGCCTATGTACAAATTCTACTTAATGAAAGATTGAGGAATAAGACTTACTCATAACTGTATTCTGGGGCCTTGCTTGTAGTCAGATAATAGTGACATGGAAATGAATTATGGCTACAGGTTAGAAGAAATTATTTTCTCAAAATAATCAAGTTTAAACAAATTTTAAAAAATAGTTTCTTTGGGGTACAAGCAATCCTAAAGCATTTATATGACCTGGGTTTTAGATGAAAGAACCTATTAGCATTGAGTGAGCACATTACCATCTGTGCAAGAAGTAGTATACTGTAGGGTACTCTGGTATCGCACCTTTCCCATACATGATGGCATTTTTTTCTCCATGATCCACAGTTCCTTGAAGTTACAGATTAATGAATTTGTATTATAGTTTAAGAACTCAACATCAGAGATGCTGAAACACTGTTTATTACTAAATACCAGGTGCAAAAATATGCAGAGCAGAATGTTGTTTTAGATACATCTTGTGTAACAGCGCTCCTGGTTTGTTAAAATGCTGTTCACAAGTTATGAATTCCCAGATATAATCTGACCTGTAATTTATTGGCTCTTGTCCTTGTCTTCCGTGATTTGGGTGTTACGGTTTCTGCAAAATGCTGATTCAGCAATGAGCTTCCCAAACACATTTATTTATTGGTCCACGAGGAGGAGACGTTGTGGAAAATACAAGTAGCCCACTTTTGTGGAGAGGACTTTTCATTTGCTTGAGGTACGATAGTTCTGATATCCGTGACTGGGAAAGGTGTCAGGTTATTCAAAGTATCCCTCTGCCTATTCTAATGTACACACTAGGGGGCTTCAAAAATTCTTGGAGATGCTCCATTATTTTTTAGTCGCATTTCCCACCAACCTTTTGAAACCCCTTCAACTCAATTGCATCCTGAGAATATCTTTCTCTTCAGATAACTGGGTTATGTAAACCAGTTTGTCTCAAACTTTCGCATGCTTCAGACCCACTTGGAGGGTTTGTTAAAATCCCCATTGCTTGGCTCCCCACCCACCCAGAGTTGTTATATAGGGAGTCTAGGGTGAGGCCTGAGAACATAGATTTCTAAACAGTGCTCAGGGAAATACTACTATTGATGATCTAGGGACCACATTTTGTGAACCCCACTTGTATTATTAGTTTAGAACATCACAAAATGGAAAGCATTTGTTTCTGGTTCAGAGGGTTATTGGTAATATGGTGGTAGTTTGGTAGGAGGGGAGGTGGGGACAGCTTGAAGAATGCGGATCAACCGTTTCCTAGAATGGTTGACTTTTGAATTCCTTCTGTGCATCTGAAAGTAAAATATTAGTGATACTGTTCATATTAATTACTTTCATTACAGAGAACCAGATCAAGTTCGGAAGGATGATGGTTTTCATTGCTTTGTAACATCCCTCTCTTTATTTTCCCTATCGGGGTTCTTGTATCTCCTTGGCCCTGTGCCTTTCTCTCTCTGCCCCCAAGTCGTTTGGCTGTGGATAAACCATTGCCTTCACGCCGATTCTGAGTTGAAGGGACCCTACCGGACAGAGTAGAGTTCTTAAGACTGCAGTTTTCTCGGAAGCTGACTGCCACCTTGTTCTCTTTAAGAGCACTGGTGAGTTCCAAGCATCACCTTTGGTTAGCAGCTGAGCACTTACTCACCCCTCCGCGAGGGCTACCCACAGCAGAACTGTCTCACAGAGCCGAGGGAGAGTGAAGCAGGATAACAGATTTCTTAGAAAGGTTAGGACACCCCTGACATTGTCATCATCATCATAAAAACCCCACTCATCTATCTTCAGCCTATGCAGATTTTGCAGCAGCCAGGACAGTACTTGGGCTGAAATGTCCTTTTGCAATATTTATAAAGGGTTTCCACAGCAAAGCATGGATTTAGGCTATGGTTCAGGAAATTTAAAGTACTTATGAAAAACTATTTTCACATTATTTCAGCACCACCATTTACGTACAATTGATTTGATAACTACAAATCAGTTTTATCTTTTTACTTACATAAAATTAATTTAGATTGCCGTTTTGATGATGCACACTAGCGTTTCTTTGCCTTAAGAATATTTTAGTTAGATTTGTTCATTAATTCACACTGAATTTGTGCCCACCTAATAACTAAAAAACAGAACAAAAAACCAAACTCACTGCTGTTGGGTCGATAACAACTCCTAGTGACCCAATAGAACATGGTAGCCCTGCCCCGTGTGGTTTCTGAGACGGAAACTCTGTGCAGGAGTAGAGAACACCAGCTTTCTCCCTGGGCTCAGCTGGTGGTTTTAAACTGGTGATCTTGCGGTTAGCAGCTCAATACGTAACCACTCTGTTACTATAAAGTGGAAAATTATACCTACTCATTATTTTATATCAGTCTCAAGCCCAGAATTATTTGAAGGTATTACCTGGTGTCTTTTGTATTGGGTGAGCATAATCAACCTGGTATGTGATTCAAAGAAGGCACTGTGAGTTTTCTAAGGGGTTCTTTTAATGATGCCCACAAAACAGTTTCTCAGATGTTACTTTCCTTTGGAAAATGCCTATGCTCAAAATTTTCCTAGATTAAAATACACCCCCACCCCCAGGTAAAGGATTTAAAAGATCTAGGGCATGCTTACTCAATGAAATGCAGCAGAGTGGAAAAATATCCTGTCTTGTCAGCCCAAGAAAATTATGATTCTTCTGATCCAGTAGTTAAAAGCAGTGACATCATTGAAAAGGTTGCGGTTCTAGACTCACGGCTCTTGGGTCGATTATTAGGAATAAACTTTTTTAGTCTCTTGTGAGATTAGGTTTTAAAGTTTTGTCCTGCAGGAACTAAAATTTGTAGCCCAAAGAGTTATCTGGAAGCAAATGTAAAGCTGTATTTGAACTCGGGTGCTTCTTTTCTCTTTAACATTTTTTATTAAAGGATCATTTTATTGGGGGCTCTTACAGCTCTTATAATATCCATATATCAGTTATATCAAGCATATTTGTACATATGTTGCTATCATTATTTTCTAGACATTTACTGTCTATTGAGCCCTTGGCATCTGCTTCTTCCCCCGCCCCTCAAGTGACCCTTTGATAAATTATACATTATTATTATTTTCATATCTTATACTGAGCGCTGTCTTCCTTCCTCCATGGTTTCTGTTGCTTGTCCTCCTGGAGGTGTGTGTTGTGCGGTTATATGTCAATCATTGCGACCGGTTTCTTCTTTTCTCCCCACCCCTCCCCACCTTCTTCCTATTCTTCTGGTATCCCTACTCCCATTCCTGTTCCTGGATTCTGTGTGTCGTGAGCTCTTATGTCTTACCTGTACCTGTGTACATGCTGTGGTCGAGCCCACAGTGAAAGGCAGGACTGGGGTCATGATAGTGGGGGGTGAGGAAGCCTCAAGGAACCAGAGGAATAGTGTGTGTTTCCTTGGTGCTTTACTGCGTCCTAGTTGACTCACCCCTTCCTTGTGACCCTTCTGTGAGGGCATGTTCCATTGTGTACAAATGGTTGGCCCTCTGCTCTGATCCCCCTTGTTCTCAACAATATGGTTGTTTGTTTGTTTGTTTGTTTGGGGTCTTCACATTGCACAGGCTGTGTGCTTCTTCCATGTGGGCTTGTTGCTTCTCTGTGGGTGCTTACTTTTACCCCTTGTCCTCTCGCTGTGAAGACCAGCCTGAGTCAGATCCGTGTGGATTAATGATGAATGCATGACTCAGCACCCTGCCGGCATTGGGTCAAGCACTCTGGCTTAGTAAGCCTGGAAATTCCAGGGTCCACTGCAGAATGAATGTTTAGTGTTCTATTGATTAACATGGCCTACTTTAAAATGGTCTATTGCTCTCTTAGATGGTCCTCTTCTCACTTCTTCTTTAATGGTATCCGAAATCATTGCATGGGTGTTTTATGCATAGCATCTATATTGCCAGGGAAACGGGTTCCCATGTAGTATTCCTGGTGTCCTCTATTTTTGGACTCAAACAAGAAGTTTGGTATGCTAAGGGAGAAGAATGCACCTGCTTAGTTTACTCTGGCAAATGGGAATGGGGACATTTAAAAGGAACTTGTGAGAGGTCTTTTTTTGAGGCAAAACCCAAGGATCCTGGATTGCATACTCATTAAGGCGGCAGCTTCCCGATGATAGTGTTGGCTAGAGGAGAGAACACTAGTGTGTTTTTGAATTGCTGAGCTTGAGCGATGCTCTTGGAAATAGGTAGATAACTGAATCGGAGGATGCTGGGGCCTGCATTCAAGGGTGAGCTGTGCCAAAGAGGAAGCGTGAGCCAGTCTCTGCCAGATACAGAAGAGAAAAGGTAACTCGCTAAATTAGGATTTTTATAGAGGGCAATGACAAAAGACAAGAAATAAGTTAATTTTTATTATCTTAAAATAGAACCGGGAAAGATGACTGAAATATTACATATTGTCCATTAAATGTGATTCTTTTCCAACCCGGACTCCAGAAAACTCTCCATGAGAACTGTACTGTGGCCCAACCACCCCCACCATGCCCATTCTCATCTTCTCCTTTGTGTGAAGTAGACACCCAAGGGTTCCTGTGCTTTTGAAAAGGAGGGCTTAATTAGCATTCACTTTTGTTTTGCCAGGCAGCCCAGCCTTGACCCACAGGAATCTGACTTCCTCCAGTCTGAATGACATTTCTGATAAACCCGAGAAGGACCAGGTAAGCAAAGAATTTTTGACACACTAAATCCGTATATAAGAGTTTCTGGGAAAAGATTAGAGATTATGATCCCTAACTTTAAGTGGACCATGAGGAGAGAATGGGGGTTGTACTTTCCCCAAGGAAAGAGGAAAGAGTCTTTTTGAAGGGTTTTGAAGCTTCCAAGATAATATTTTAATTTTTGATTCTAGCATTTACAGTCTTATTTGCATAGTAATTACAGGTTTAAATGAGATTAAGTGAGGATTAAATGAGATAATGTATTTTAAAAAGTGCTGTGGTAAACTGTAAAAGGCTAAGAAATGTAAGTAATTGTTTCTCTTGGGGGATATTTCAGGTAAAGGTGATAATGACTGCTAAGTTAGTCCTGTTAGTTATATGTTTATTTGTCTATTAAAACATAAAGTATATCTTTTCAAAATAAATGAAGAGCAAAGAGATTTTTAACCTTGCTACTTGCATTCTTTTAAAAATGGGGTCATTTTTCCATATAGCTGGATATCTTTGGAAGGGTAGTTTTTCATTAATATGGTACATTAGTAGGTATAAAATGATGTATGTTGAATTAAAAAATATCAAAGCTTCCAAAAAATAAAGGAGATATATTTTTAAACCAATGGAAATCCTAACCTCTTCCCTCAAAGATATAGGCAACTGGCTTTATTATTTTTTGAGAGAGCAAAAAATAGTAAAATTATTCTTTTATCTTATACTGTAAGAGGAATTATACATTTACCCTAAATTTATTATAGAAATCATAGATAATCCAGTCAATTCTCTGCCTTCAAAAGAAGAAGTTCCACCTTTTGCTTTCTATTATACAGTGTGAAGATGCTTTATAACTAACCCATGGTATTGCTTATTACGGAGGACGAATGCAAATGAGTGTTTCCAGTGTCTGTGCTCAGTGTTTTGCTAACTTCTATTCCAGATGCTCCTGGATCATTTTAGGGCAAGAAGAAGAAAATGAGCTTGCAAATAAGACGAAACTATGGCAACACACACACACACAAATAGAACTGGAGCTTTTATTTTTTTAACCTATTTTTTTTTTCACTATTGCAGTAGGAAATAAAAGTTGCCAGGCTCAAATTTGGTTTGAAAAAGCTTTTATAATTAATTAGTCAATGTCCTAGAAATGAGCTTGGCAGTCAAGTCAAACTCATTCTGTGTGTGGGTCCAAGTTGGCCCCCAAACATCCATCTGAGCAGGACAGAAGTTTCTGACGGACTGATTATTCTGCTTGGACCACTGTGAGGGCACCTCCCAGCTTCCCGGAGCGATGGCCCTTCCCAGGAGCATAAGCAATGGCTTCAATGTCCAGAGCTACAAAGTGAACCGAATGTCTCTTTCAGACAGCTCTGTAGGAGAAAACTTTGAGGGCACATTTTTATGAGGTTGTGTTTTGGGAAAACAGAAGAAACAAATCAGTGGACTGTACTCTCTTCCTAGCTCTGTCACACTTATGCACTTTATTGAGAAATAGCTAAAAAATAGTTAACAGCAGAAGAAGAACATAGCCAAAATGTAGGTGCTTCGATAATATTCCACCTTGGCTGTTACATTTATTAAGCATAAAAGCACCCGGGAGAAATAGATGGAAAAAAATACCTCTGGAGCTCATCAAATAGAAAATCTATGTGCATCATCTTTTATCCTGTTGCTGTGGATGGTTTTTTAAAAAAATTATTGTTATCTACTCTAATGACCTTAAATTTATGGACCCCACTTTTTCCTTTTGGTATTCTTTCAAACTTTCACAAGTGCGATGGATGCTTACCGAGGTGGGTAGGGTTAGTGATGCCATTTTCATTTGAGTATGGAAGTAGTTCATCTTTCTCCTAAGTTTACCTTTAGCCAAAACTCTGTTGTAGAAATACCATTGAATTGTCGCAGTGGCTGTAACAGTGAGCACCAACATAGCACTGCTAGTGAGGGTGGTGTGTAGCTGGACATTTCTTTCTGTGATGCACAAGGTTCCTGGCATCAGAGACTCCTGGCTAGCCCCGAACGACAGTAGCAATGTATCTTCTGAGCAGTGGTGGTGACATGAAAAGGCCTTGACTTTTCTTTTCTTCCAAGTGTATCAGTAATGTAACGTCTCACCGAGACATGTCCCATTTCCAGCAAAAACAGAAGTTAGATATGGCAGTGGACATAGAAGATTCTCAAGGAGGCGCTGAAGAATCGTACAACCTTGTAAGCTCCTTGTCAGGTCAAGATTTCCGTGATAGTCATTATTTAGCTAGCCTATCTTAGAATTTGTCCCACACATCTCCTGGTGGAATTTGGCCTAAGGTTAATTCCTAAAGTGTATTACAGTCATTTTTGAATACCATCGATTTCGTATTATATTAAAATATGCTTAGCTGCCTTCATTTCTATTTGGGGAAACTTGGTCTTTGCAGAAACAGAAAATCTCAATTTAACATTTTTTTGTCGAAGAATAGGGATGAGATTGTTAAGCTGTCGACAAGTTTGAAATTGCTGCACCGTGACTTCCTTAAAACACAATGCAGACAAACACATGCGCTAATTGAAGACACCTAATCCTGTTCTTCCACACATGTAATAGAAGACCAAGGTCAGCTGGGATGCCCGTTTCATTTATTTTGAAGGCACATTTCCACCCCAGGTCCCTATAAAGCTCCCATTAGCCTTAGTAACTGTTTCCTATTCAGAGCAGTTGAAAAGTATAACGGCCCCTCCTTTCTTTTTCACAGCTCAGCCAGAAACCCTGTGCTTGGCTACCGAGCGCTTTGTGGTCTCACGCCCTCACTCAGGGAAAGTGGAGTGGCTCAGAAAGGCTCAGATATCAGGCAATCCACCTGTTTCCTTAGCGTCCCGGCAGGGATCAAGAGAGCTCCAAATGGAACCAAATCGGTGGAACTCTGCGAACAAGCCACAAGCCACGTTGGGAGGAGATGGTTACACTTGCTTGCCTTCATCAGTCTGCACCACTTTGGTCAGAACCACAGGGCGCTTGTGTGTCTCAGCCGCTCCGGCCGTCCTTCCGTCTGCAGGGTGTGTGCTTGGAGGGCGTGTCTGCCCTCTCTGCCTGAGATCTTTCAAGCCCCTTTCAAAATGCTTCCATTTGCTATTTAGATCACTTAAACCCAAAGTCAGTTCTGAAGTTTGTCAGCTCCTTTTTGGCTCGCGACCGAATATTCCTTCTTTCACTCTATGACCTCACTCATATTCTTAAAACTTTATGAATGAATGGTTTTCAAGTAGTGTTTGCGAAGCCCTGGTGTCAATACAGAAGTCAAAAACGGGGACCTGTTGGAATCGAGAGAGTTGAATCTTCTAATGTGGAGCTGCTTTCAGAGCCATTTGTCTTGATCAGAAGACTAGCATTTATTTAAAACCAATTCTATGTCAGCTTTAAAATGATATGGATAAATATGTCAGAAGAAAGCGGAACTCTATCTCCTGTTCTTAGACCAAAAAAAAAAAAAAAAAGATGTGTGAAACTCTAGAACTGTGGTTTCAAGTAATTGTAAAGCCACAATAAATTTAACTTTTAAATCATCCCATAGCTGCCTATTACTCTGATGTGAATTCATCCATCACATTCATTCAGTTTCTCAAAAAGTATATTCTGTGGTAGACAGCATTTTTAATGATAGGATTTGAGAAATGAATGAAACATATATTTTTTAACTGATGGAGTTTCAATTTTTTTGAGAAAGAGAATCAACAATAAAAACAAATGACTAGCATAAATTCACGTTGTGATAAGTTTTATCTTGAAATAAAACAGTAGCACAGGGTAGCTATTTTAGGCAGGAGAATTCACCATTAAAATCTGGAGGAAAAGAGTTGTAGACTGAACAAAATGTCGGAGTAAAGACCTAAGGGAGAAATGAGATGGGAGAGGTGGCAGAGGGGGGAAGAAGACTGGAGTGGAATGTTTGGAGCTACGTACGCCGTAGCAGGTGAAGCGAGGTAATAACTAGGTAATGGGCTTTCTACTCCCATGAACAGATCCAGTTTAGGAAACTCCCAGAGGCCATTCTGTCCTGACCTGTAGGGTCACTGTGAGTTGGAATTGACTCAGTGGTGAGTGAGTGAGGCATCTTTTTACCTGGAGTATTGTATATTGTTGTTTTTAATCATTTTATTGGGGGCTTGTACAGGTCTTAAAACAATCCATCCATCCATTGTGTCAAGCACATTTGTACATTTGTTGCCATTATCATTTTCAAAACATTTTCTTTCTTCTTGAGCTCTTGGTATTAGCTTCTCATTTTTCTCCTTCCTCCCTCATGAACCCTTGATAATTTATAAATTATTTTTCTTCATGTCCTACATGGACTATTGTCTCCCTTCACCCACTTTTCGGTTGTCCATCCCCCTGAAAGGCGGTTATATGTAGACCATTGTGATTGGCTCCCCTTTTCTCCCCCCATCTTTCCCTCCCCATCCTGGTGTATCTACTCTCATTATTGATCTTGAGGTGTTTATGTGTCCTGGATTCCCTGTGTTTCCAGCTCTTATCTGTACCAGTGTGCATGCTCTGATCTAGCCAGGTTTGTAAGGTAGAACTGGGGTCATGATACTAGGGAGTGGTGGGGGAAGCATTAAAGAGCTAGAGGAAATTGTGTGTTTCATTGGTGCTATACTGCACCCTGACTGGCTTTTCTTTTCCTTGTTGCCCTTCTGTAAGGGATGTCCAGTTGCCTACAGATAGGCGTTGTTCTCCACTCTGTGCTCCCCATCATTCACAATGATATGATTTTTTGTTCTGGGTCTTTGATGCCTGATACCTGATCCTGTCGATACCTCATGAGCACACTGGCTGGTGTGCTTCCTCCCTGTGGCTTTTGTTGCTTTTCAGCTGGATGGCCACTTGTTTATCTTCAAGCCTTTAAGATCTCAGATGCTATGTCTTTTGATAGCCGTGCACCATTAACTTTCTCCACCACATTTGCTTATGCACCCATTTTGTCTTCAGAGATCTTGTCAGGAAGGTGAGCATCACAGAATGCTGGGTTATT